TAACCTTTTTTCATATGATGCCTTATAGATGGTGATTTTGCATTGTTAATGTCCTTGCCTAACTCTTGTATGCTTCACAGCCCACAATGCGATCTGGCCGATGTAATTGTCCTCTAGTCTTATTCCTTTTTCTCAAGCAGTGTGGCAAATTGTTCAACGTGTATGTGAAACATGACAACATTTTTCTAGCTGTCAGAACTTTATTAACCTAATATAGATTTAGTAGTCTATACAATGGATGTTTTCAGTGTGCTATGAAGCTTTATTAGTTCAAATTCAAATCTAATTTGAGTACAAATCTAATGTAATGACAACAATAAAACTGATATTTCAAATATCTTTAAGCCTCTTTGGAAAGGCCACGTTTGTATATCTGTAGCTTGTCTCGATCTTCTTGGTCTAATTGTTGCTGCTCCAGTTCCTGCTGGTCCCGGTCCTGCTGGTCCCGGGCCTGCTGGTCCAGGTCCTGCTGGTCTCGGTCCTGCTGGTCCAGGTCCTGCTGGTCCAGGTCCTGCTGGTCCAGGTCCTGCTGGTCCAGGTCCTGCTTGTCCAGGTCCTGCTGGTCCAATTGCTGCTGGTTCGCTAGGTCAAGTTTTCCATGCCTATGAATAAGGCTGGTAGAAGAAAAATAAAATTCACAATACAATATAACAGGATATTTGACTTTATCAGTAAAATTATTTCATTATTACTAATACTAATTCATTATACCAACACATTTTCAAATGATTGAGAAAAAGTTGCTCCAAGTTTTTACCTGCTAATACCATGAATAGCACTACCAATTCCCTTTATAAGCATCCCAAAAAAGCACTCTCCTGGTTGTGCCATCAGGACAACCATGGTCAAGGTGAGAAAAAGTGCCATACACTTCATCCTAAAAAAGTTCCTTCCTCATGTCTGTGGAATGATGCACTGTTTTCTTTTTTAGGTAAATTTAATACAAATTTGGTACATAACTAACAACTTATTCCTTAAACTCTCGAATGAAATTAACTGAGCACATAAAACAAAGTCCTTACCTTAGACTGATCAAATGTCCTTGACTGATCAAAATGCTCTTCAATGGCAAGGGGACTCTCTCAAATTATTGTAAACTGTTTCCTGGTAGAATGCTGCACCAAGGTATATATGTACAGGACTAAGTCATTATCATATTGGGAAACATCTTATGATTTAGCAGAAAAAGGTAACCATAAGGTCTTGCATTTTAGCCACAGAATATGTAGCTTTAATCTTATCTACATGGTAGTTATGTTTGTATGGCTATAGGGAAGCTGCTGAAATCAATTATAGCAGCCTGTGGGTTGCTCATTGTATCAGTTCTTGGACCTTTAATACTTGTAGCTGGTTTGTGCAAATCACTCACAAGGCACAGAAAACAGGTAAGAGACCCAAAAACACACTATGAGAGGCCTGATAGGGTTCAGGCAGGCTCAGAGAAACAGGAGGAAGATTCTGGCAAGAATCAGGCAGGCATGCTGGATAAAGCTCAAGGATGGCTTGTAATAAGTTGGCTCTAGTGACTGGTCTGAGAGCTGGATATGTAGTCAGGTAAGCAGGTGAATCTGATAGAGGCTGATTGGAAAACAGGGCGGAGCTAACTGGTGTGTTGAAGCCTGAACCATTACAACACTAGTGCCAATAATCATGAGGGAAGAAATGTAAAACATTGGAAAAAAAAAAAAAAAAGCCAGAAAGGACTGCCGGCAGACAATTAATACAATGCATTTCCATAAATATAATAAAAAGTTTTAAAATTTACAAACTAGACTTACAATATTCTAATGATAGTATAGAACAAGGCAGTTAAGGTTTGAAAAGTCTAATGCAGTTTTTGAGCTGGATCAGTTTAAATGCAATCAAAGTGCAAAAAGATCTATCAAACTAGGTATTTAATGACCTTTAAAAAGTCCAATAAAGTGTTCAAAAATCAATCACATGGGCTGACGTTTTCTTTTTTCAGTATAGAACAATATAGTCCAGGAGTGAAGAGTGTAGCTGCTGCAGTTTTTAAACTGGACCAGTTTGGAAGTGATCAAAATGCAAAAAAAAAAAGGTAAAATAGATACAGATATATTTTTAGGCCTTATGCTTTGATGAATATTTATGCCAACTTTAATGTTTCTATAAAAATCCATGAGGCCACAGTGTAGATGAAAAAAGGGGGTCAAGAGATTTCAGCCTGAGTCATTTTCGGTTAAAGACAGTTTTGATAGTCTCAAACAACCCAATTGCATGGCCAAACCATAAATGATATCAAAATAATTCCTTTAATGTGAAGGCTAAAAGGATTGTAGGTGATCTTTATCAAGCCTCATGCTTGTACATCAAATGGTTTAGGAGAGGCAGCAATCCCAAAACGTGTTGTTTAGGAATTCCAGCTCTGATTTTGGGAACCAGATGATTTCTAAAGAGGGAGTGTGGTCTTCTTGATTGGCTGGGACAGATTGCTGGAAAACTGTAAAACCCACAATAATAAGGGTTAGATTTTGAGAATACCTACAAAAATTCCTACATTATAATGAATATTATTTCTCAATAGAGTAAATATTGAGTGCGCGAAGAATTTATTTCCCAAGAGTAAAATGTTTACAAACATAAGTTGCAGCATAAAAATGCTGCGATTATAACACCAAAATCAGGACAGAAACAGTTAAACAGTTTGAAGCATCGCTGTAGCAAAACTATCAAATATATCAAAAATCTAATTAAAGCAGTTATAGTAGAAGGTTGTGAAAGTTGAATGGTGTTTGTAGGTGAAAGTATGCGGAACTATTTAAGGGCAAAGCAGCAGAATATAAGAGCCAAACTGGCAGAGCTACTCCAACATGCAGCCACCTTAAGTAGCGCAAGTAGGCATTTAATGTCCTCCTCTGTATTGTTACAGATCAGAAAAAAAAAAAATATATATATATATATCATAATTTTTTTTTATTTCTAATGCTTTTTATAAATTTTTGTTGCACTTCTATGTTGCAGTTTAAACAATTAACTGCTTGTTTAAGTAATACAAAAAAATACACAACCATTTGTGTATTTTTTTTCATGACTGCTTTGTCATAAGACTGCATATCATCAGTTTGATTAGTTTTTTTTTTTTTCATGCTATTCACTATGTCAAACGTTTTGATGGGAAAACGTTGAACGATATGTCTCTGGCAGCACACAAAGCACATTGTTTGTGTCTGGGTTATTTTGTTATGTTTGACTTTTTTTTCCCATAACACGATGCATGGTCAATGGGCTTTCTTGATGGATTTCACCACGCTCATGTAAACCCACTGCTTTAGCTCAAAATAAAATAAGTTTAATCTAATATAAAATGAAATCATTAAATTTGTGTTGGATTACTCTTTGGCTCAAGAAAAAAATATTTTAAAATGAAATTTAATAATTGAAAATAAGTATTTTTTTTATTAAAGAAACATACATTGTCAGAGCAGATTATTTCAGTTTCAAACAACTACATTCCTTTTAATTTTAGTAAAATTCCTTCATATAATAAATCCTTTAGTTATACAAATATAGATTCAGTATGAACAATTTCAATTCTGTTTTATTTTGCATATGGTTCCCTTCGTCTGGCATGCACAACCACTAGCTGCGTTGGTGGTAGTAGCCTGGTGAGCCAGACTGACTTACAAAGGGGTGTAAGTAAGTCCAGAAAGGCTGAAGACAATCAGGTCTCAAACATACTGGACCAATCACAGTGTGGAAAGTGAGAATTTAGGTCCATAATGCAACATCTCTTTTCTGTAGCTATAACAGTCAAGATTGAAGTAAGAACAGCCTGTGAATGAGCTGGATATATATATTTTTTTAATGTAACATTTGTTTTAAGAAGTTTTCTTTTTTTTGCATCACATCCCTTGGTATCTGTTTGATTGTAAAATGTTTCTGCTGACCCTGGTTGTCCCGCCTTTGAAATCGGGATCTTTTCCAAACTGATATGCCATGCATATGGCGTAAATCATTCTGAATGGCCAGGTTATGTGTTCTGAGAAGTGAATGCATTACACATGATTCTTCTTACCCTACTCATCACAGAATATCACTGGCAATGATGTGAAAACTGCAGACAGCTTTGAAAAGATGTGTATTTTGAAGGTGATGAACTAATGAAGTCTGAACCAAGTCAAAAATAAATTTAACAGCAATTTAATGTTTTTTTCCTATGGAAGCATGTCTATCGGAGTTTGAATTGCATTGCCAACTCAGATCAATGTGTTTCTTTGATTGAAAAACACTTCCACTGACATACCTGACAAAGAATAAGTTAGAATTTGCAAGCCGAAAGAACGTATTTTGACTTTTGCATTGTACCTAAATATTTGTACGGTAAATAAGATTATAACTTGGACCCCAACATGACTATCAGAGTTAAACTGCATCCTCAGAGTTTTACCTCTTCAGCTGACCTTCCCTCAGGATGAGTGCTATAATAATCTGATGTTAAATAACTGGGCTGTTTTTAGACTTTTAGAATTTGCATAATAAAGTGTGATTGGTTTTTCTGTTAACTGCAGACAGATCACTAACAGCTTGCACATAATGGACCTGAGTGGACCGAGAAATTATGGGGCTTCTTTCTTTTGCAGCAGATTTTGTTTGCTTAGATAATTCCCTGTCACCAGTTTAGCTTTATCCAAATGGTATTTGGAGAAGCATCATCCAGGCAATCTGTAGTCTTCTAGATGTGTTAATATTAATAATGTTTAACCTAGCTAAAATATTCCTATCATTTTGGTGTATCCTCAATTGAAATTTTTTATACGATTGCAATTATGATGTTGAAAGCTGAGTCCAGTCTTACACCACGGTCTATTAAAGATTTCAATACCCTGTTTTTTTTATGATAACCTGTGATCCTCAGTTGAAACTCTTTTTGCCATCTGACAATTTTTGTTTCAATCAAAAGGGAAAATAGCCTTTTATGGTAGATACAGTGATGCATTGTGTTGCACTCATGAAAACTAAGTACAGATGAAAAATGTTTCTAAAGTTTTCCATTTATTATTTAAACTTTATGTGAAAGGGTCTGCTTGGTAGTCCAAGAATCTCTACACTCGGGGTTACAGATTTACAGCAATAAAATGACACATTTAATTAACTGTTTATTGTCTTTATAAGAGAAGACTAATATACAGTCTTGAGCTCTAGAAGTAAGATTTTAAGAAATTTGAATAAGATGGTTTTACAAAAGGTTAGTCCGCATCAATACTTTGAAAAACCAACAGAAACCGAGCAGCCTCATGTCGTTTGTCTAATTCAAACGATGCTGTGCAGCTCTGTGTTTCAGTGAGCGTTTTTCCAGCTCCTCCTCAAGCTGCTGGTCGAGCTGCTGTTGATCCAGAAGCATCTTTTCCATTTTCCGATCAAGCTGCTTCTGGTCCATTTTATGGTCCAGCTGCTTCTGCTCCACATTCTGGTCCAGCTGCATCTGATCCACTTCATTCTGGTCCGCTTGTTCCTTTCTTGCTCCATGGATTGCTCCATGAATCAAACTTTCAAAAAAGTAAGTAACAAGGGATTAACTAAATTCTTTTTTTTTTTTTTTACCAATGACACTTAGATGTAAAGATGAATCTAATTATAAAATTATAACAGAAAATCAGTTGGTAGTTACCTAGAAATGCCATGAATGGCATGACCAATAAGACCAAAAAATCCATCACTGGGTTGAGCCAATAGGACAACAAAGGAAAACACAAGAAAGGCCGCACTAATCTTCATCCTGCAAAAAAAAAAAAACAAGATCCAAACAATTAAAATAGAGAATTTTTTTACAAGGTCAACAATTGTATTAAGTGGTTCAGTTCAAGTCAACTTGAACTTGAACATCTACTGATGATGTAAATGTTGCAGAGCTGTGGTTATAGAGTAGAAGTTTGACATTATCTTAGGCGTCCACTGAAAGCCTAGGTACCAGATGCACCCCGTACCATTGCAGTCAAGTCATTTTTAGAACATTAATGAAAGTGGCTTTATGATATTTAAATATGTCAAGCATTGAGATTAAATCCCAACAGGTAATCTTAGTCTGATGGTTTAATTGTACGATCAGGAGGCAGAACAAAGCAGCAGCATTTTATTTATCTGTGGTAGCCACATGAACTACTAATAGAACTAGAGTAATATCTTTTCTTGCCCGAATAGCCCTGGTGGAGAAGGATGTACATGTTCTGTCTGCGAAATGTTAAATTTGTGAAAGATTTTTTTTTCGTATTTTTATAACTGCTTTCTTCTTTACACAATGCCAGAAAAAATATTATATATTTGATCATATATATATATTATAATTATAATATATATATATATATATATATATATAATTTTCTGACAAACAGCTTGCTGAGTCTCCCTTGACTTGTTTTGTATTAAGTCATGTTGAAATTAAAAAGAATATAGCTCCTGTACTTTCTTTGTGCTTTTGAGTAACCCTTTTGATTTAATTTGCATACACCGGTACAGAGGAAGCTAAAAAGACTTTTGTTTTTTATGGGTAATATACATATATATATATATATATATATATATATATATATATATATATATACAAAAAAAACAAAACAAAGCAGAAACAAAAAGATGATTTGCTAATGATGCTGCAATATGTCAAGGGCAAAATTCACTGGTGACTCAGAGTGATTTCACTGCATCACTTAAATCATGTTGTTTAATTGTGAAAAACAAAAAGCCTACCTGTAGAAAGTGCACACTGTGATACTGAAAGGGTATTTAGGTTGTTCATAAAGAACTTAAAAATACATATTGTCAATAACAAATTGTCAATATGCAAACAGCACAAAATATGGCCTTAATCTTACAACCTCCTGCTACTGTACATGGTTATGCTGCTGGCAACCATCTAAGTATGTAAACCAAGTATCCAAAAAAAAGATAGTAAATTATTTCTACAGAACCATCATTTCTAGAGGATGTGGATGGTGTGCAAAAAAAACAAGTTACAACTTACAATCACTATGTAAAAAAGTAAACTTTGACAAATATATCACAGACATGATCACATGTCCAGTTAGGAACCTACCTTCCAGTACTTGATCGTTGTGGTGTTCACTGAGCAGAAAGGAGGATGTCCTGATCTATAGTAATCTCTGCACTGATGGACTGCTGCACTTTTATAATGCAAGCGGGTGTGTTGATGTGTCACGAACAGATGTGATAATATTGCGAAATATTATTCAGCTGTGGTGGCATGAAAACTTGACCAGACAGCTCGTAACAAATTTTTTAACATGTCATGCAAGTTTTCTGCAAGTTTCTACCGTGAACTCTTAAGCAAAGTAGTGATCAGAATCTAGCTTACCGATACCCATCTGAAGCAGGTTAGGGTACCCTAGTTGGGTCAAACTACTTAACCTACAACCAATAATTCTTAAATTGTAATTTTTATACCTTGTATGTTTTGACTTACCTCAAGTTTTGCTAATTAATTCAATGTTTTCAACACCTGCAAAAATAATCCATCCTGTAATCAAATGTCTCTCTATCAGATTTTCCAGACCATTGTAATATACTTAATTAAATGTGCCCACACTTTAACATGTACATAAGCCAATATTTAGTTTAAGCTGAATTTCAAATAAGCAAAATTTTGCAGGTCTTGTTTGATATTTAAAAGTGGAGAAGTACTATTTCATCCCTTTACTTAAATTCACTAGAATTTGTCTTTCCACCCCAGCTTAAGAAGAAGTCATTGGGTGATGTTCTCAGCTCTTTACCGGACTCTTGGTTCACAGGAACAGGAGAAGGCAGATAAACAATGAAGTAATCCTCGAGGACAGTCATGAAAACCATGCTTATCTCTTTACAATGACTCAAACCTTAACCTTTTAAGCTTACATGCTACTTTTCATACCTTGGCCGCAATGTTTCATGTGCAGGTTTGAATGTATAAAAAAGGACATTATTTGAATGAGTGCATTGATTCATGTAGGTCTGGGCAATAAATCAGTATATAACGTTTTAGACACCGCATCAATGTCAGTAGAAAATACATCCAATAAAACTTTTACCAATGTCATTAAACTTGGATTCAGAGACAGTTTGTATTTGTGGGGATATGGGCAGAGGAAAGGTTTAACCTGTTTAACTTGAGTTTCAACCTGTCATCTCCAAACTTAGCAAGTTAGGTAGTTAGGCTAATGCATTTTTAAAGATTATGTCAAAATAGGTTTAGGGTTGCATTTTTATATTCCAACTTTTTTTTTTGCTGGTCCTTATTTCAAAGAGGTAAAAATGCGAATACTGTGATGCATTTTTTAGCCGTATAGAGCAGTCATAACTTTTGGACTGCAGCAGCCTTGAAATCTTGCTTCTAACATGCCTCATACAAACAATCACTCTTAGCTTTACACAATAAAGTAACACACCTCCAAAAATGATGGAAACACCCTTAATCAAACTGTATGTTTTCCTGTTTCGGTCATGTGTAGATGTAAATGTGCATTGGTCTGAGTGCTAAGGAGCTTAACATGCATGTTACATTAACTAAAGGACATTTTCATTCTCATGAGAATTAGATTGCATCCGATTACGAGATTCACTCTTAACAAGTCAGACGTAATGTTTCATAAGGTGGACAAGGTGAAGGACCATAAATAGCTGTGTAATGTTGGCACTGCTGGAGGACATTCCTAATGGAAGAATTTGAAGGAAACCTGTGTTCAAAGATAATACTGACCTACTGGTTTGAATGCTCAGGGCAATCATTTAGGAGCACTGCATGAAACTTGCATCTCTGTTAAAGTACTACCTATGTTTCACTATTTGCAACTGGAGCTTTTGAAAGGGAGCTGATTCAAAGGTTTTAACACGTATCTTTGGGCTGACCCATGCAATTTATTTGTGACAGTCCCATCATAAACATTGCTCAGATATTGGTTGTTGGAAGTTGTTGGTTTGCTTTATTACACTATAAATGCCCCCCATGGTGTGTAGACAATGTCTCTCGATGCGTATAGCACTGTTTCACAACTCTCTTTTTTCTGTCTTATTAAACTGTTGCTATGGTTATTTTGACACGTGGTGGATGCCTATCAGCTATTTATACTTATAGTTTACACTGCATATTCATTTGTCGGTGAAGACTGGGCATTACAAGCAGTTTTTTTTCTGCTGAGACAAATGTCCTGCAAATTAGGACTTATAAAAGAAAGCCATGTGATATGTACGCAAGGTTTTATACGTCAGAATTTGTTTTAGTGTTATAAGTTTGAATATTAGTTGCTCCCGCTGACTTAGTATGAAAAAAGCACTCTTTTATGCATGAGTTCCGTGGACTTGTTAGGTTTACAATGTTTTCAACAGGAATGAAATTACCAAGAAGTATGAAGAGATCTATTGCGACTAGTTCTCTCTATCTCTTTATTAAATAGACTAAAATGAAATAAACACATGATTGTACAATTTGCCGTATTACAAAAATGGTTGTTAATAAAACCTCAAAGGTAGGTCCAATAATCCTCCCACTAAACCATTAACTTGTTTGAGCAACAAGAGCTTCCCTTTTTTTGGGTTAAGTGTTGCAGTTCTGCTGTAGTACATAAATAAATGGTTACCCGTATTCATTTAAAAAACATTCTACTTGTATTTGCATTTTATTATGTTCCCCATGAGATGTACTAGATAAATCTATTAATTGACCGCAAATTTAATCATAATCATAACAAAAGCCTTAGTATGTATATAAACTGTAGATGCCTATGTAAATTTTCAGTCATAATGGATGCCAAAAACAAGCTTAAATTTGAAGGCAACCGGACATTCGCACAGTTTTTTTTGGAGATGTTTTGACACCTATCTAGGAATCTTTGTCAACTCTGTTGGCTCGCACCGGAGCTAACTCTGTTTGGACTGCAGATGAATTTAAGCAGGATGGAGGAACATCCTCCTGCACACATTCCAAGTAAGATGTTAATCAAATAGCCACCCTTTGTTGTTCTGGATTGTTGGAGCACTTTGTTGTGCATGGGCTATGTGGTTGGTATTTTGACTCATAGTCAAAGTGCTTAGGTAACCTCTTGGGAATGAATTCCATGACTGATTTGTAAATGCTTGGAAGCTGAAACCACAATACTGTCCCTCTGTTCAGTGATGGCTTTTCTCTTTTCACAAAGATGGCTTCCTTGAAAGCTCTTTTAAACCATCTGCCCTGTCCAAGATCTGAACACTTTGGTCTTCAAAGGACATTTAAAGACCAAAGTGTTCAGATTTTGGACAGGGAGGACAGAAGATTTGAAAGGGGCGTCAAGAACATAATCAATGTCAGCTTTTAAATGTTATGTGCTAATTCTAAGCACATATCCCAATTAAATAAATAACTAAATAGTGTGCAAAAGTCTTGCCTACATGCAACCTGTTCATCAGGATTTGATCTACTTCAGGGTTGTACCTCATATCTCATTTACATATTCCATGCCTGAATGTTATGGATGTACAGCCATAATTCTGATTTGGATCCTAACCACAAGTTGAGTTGCATAGAAGTTGTTCTATCAAGGTGATACTTTATTGTATCTCTTACACTATATCCGTTGGTTGTGCTGTTCTTTTTACATCTCTTTGCAGGTGATGAAGCAGACTAAAGATGTTTTATCGTTATCTGCCTTTTATCACCCCTTTTATATCCTCTTTCTTTCATCTTCTTTGTTTCTGTTTTCCCTTTCCTGTTCTACTTACGTTGTAGTGTCCATAAAATCTGTAATACTCCCTGCATAATTATAATAAAGCTATTTATATGCATAAGTCATACGGAACACTATGGCAATACCAGTACAACCCCACTTGTGAAAGCAAAATCTGCTGGGCTCTCTTTTTGGCATCAAGACAATTATTCTTATTGGCTTGTATCAACTATGTTCTCTACTTCCAAACTTAGCATCTCTTCATCCATCCATAAGAAGTTTCTTTTGAAGTTGTGAGATGCACTATTTGAAGTTTTGACTAGATTTGATTAAACTTTTTCGCCTCTCTGTATAAAGTAAATATTTTGATTGAGATGAGAAATCTGCTTCCTGGTATGTTGAAGTATATAGTTAGCATCCAATCATCAATTAAACAGCCTAAGTTTTGGGGAATATATAAGAATTATGCTCTAATTTGTAGTTACCGATACATTATTACTATATCTTAATTTGACGAACCGGATCTTCTCGCCATTCTTTTTCGCGTTTGGTGCAATTGCAATTGCAGACCTTGACCTGGTCAACCAATCTTTAACTTTGTCAAGAATAAAATTTTGGCTTCCTTTCCTGTTTAAATAAGATAGACAATTGTCTTTATTGTGCTCTAAAATGTAATTTATTTGTTCATCAGTCAAGTTTAAACATATAATCATTTAAACAAATACACAAATATTTGTAAAATGCTGCAAAGGAATTATGTATTTACTTTTAGTATAAGGCAGGCAGTTTAATGATTTCAGTAACACAAAGATCGAGCTGAAATTCAGATCTGCCTGTAATGGCGTTGAAAATCCTTGTATTGTAACAAAAGCTTTTCCATTTGCTGCTGGTCTTTGTCTTGCTTGTCCAGTTCGGCCTGTTTCAGCTGAAGGTCTGCTTGTTTTCCCATAATACCCCTAAAAAATGTCATCCAGAAGAAAAAATCGATAGAAAATAGTGTTATATAAAGATTATGTTAATGAATCAATTAAACTATATAGGAAATTACAAATTTTTTTCTTCATAGTTTTAAAGTACCAAGTATTTTTATTATTGTAAACAATTAAAAATCTTACCTTGCACATTTTTTAAACAAGCCTGTGAAAGAGCCTTCTCCAGGTTGAGCCATAAGCACCACCATGGACAGCACCAGGAATACCACAATACACTTCATCCTGCTAATCAAAAGACCACAGTGGACACATTTAAAAATAAGATTTTTATAAAGATAAAAAAATAAATAAATATATATATATATATATTTCATAATTCTATCATTACCCCCAGTCATGGGGGTGATGATAATATTAGAAATGACTTTGGTTTCTGTGCCCTATCCAAGTTGCCAATTTATCAACTAAAAAAGCCTCTTTATTTCTTTTAAGTGTTTAAGCTCTAAAAATTATTTGAAGATGTCTACTTGATACTTTGATGACAGTAAAATATTTACTTTTATAAAATCGTACAGGTAAATACAGATGAAATATATCTAGTTCTTACCTTTCTCCTGAGGATCAAAACCTGTTCTATAGCTGATCGTTGACTGTCTCCCAAAATCAGTGAACTGTTGCACCTCTATATATGTCTAACAATGTGGTTGTTATCATATTGGGAAATTGTGTAAGATATTACAAAAGGTTTTTGAGGATTTGGTCTGATGTTGACATAACAGATGGTCATTTATCTTAAAAGACACAACCCAATGTTGCATCAGAGAGAATTCTTGGTAAATTCAGGTGATATGCTGATAAGAATTTAGCAGAATATTTTAACTTTTTTTGTGGTGTTAAGTGTTAACTTTTTAAAAATCTTTTGCTCTAGGAGGAGGACTTGAATCAAGTTTATGTCCCAACTTCCACTAAGCCACTAATTAACTTGTATTTCAGATATTTGAGTCATTCATAGGTTGACTTTGTGGTGTGCTTCAGATTATAGCTACGAGATGCTAGCCACCCCTGAATGTTCGTTCGCCCCTCAATGGACCAAATCAAATCCAATGGACCATCAAGCACCCTGCTAAGAGTGTAGAGCTGGACCAGATGTTTCATAGTTGAGATGAATATCACACTGCTCCTCCTTGAGCCAAGGGCACTTCTGTTCCCCCCAGGCGCTCTGGAAAATTTGACAAAATGTCTTTGAGGTTGTCTTTCACCGTGGTCTCTCCATACTGCTCCCAGGCAATTGTTACATCACCTGAGCAGCAGAACGCAAAGCCTTATGGAAACCCATAAGCCAATTTAGCTTAATAAAACTCCTTCAGCTTGACCGACACCCTTACTGTCAGTGTACAACGTTGGATTTGGGGGTTGTCACCAAGACACCTAGATCTTAAGGCCACATCTATTGGTGGCCACATTGGCAATGAAGGCACAGAGCATTATCCATTCAGACTTCCTTCCCCAATGCTTGTCCTGAATCATAGCAAGGTTCTCCCACTTTTGTGAGATTAATACATCCACGACTGAGGCCTCCACCCGATGTACCCAGCACACCCTCACTACTCCCCTGGGCCTGCAGAATATGTACAACTTTACAGGCTTGGCTTCATTTCTGCACCTGTTTGGCTCACTTGACCCTAGCTGTGTACCTGGCTCTCTCTGCGCTTGCTTTGCTTCTCCTTTTGCTCACCACTTGATTAACTATACATTACCGTTCAAAAGTTTGGGTTTACCCAAACAATTTTGTGTTTTTCCAGAAAGATCACACTTATTCACCACCATACGTTGTGAAATGAATAGAAAATAGAGTCAAGACATTGACAAGGTTAGAAATAATGATTTATCAAACTTTGCTTTTGTCAAAGAATCCTCCATATGCAGCAATTACAGCATTGCAGACCTTTGGCATTCTAGCTGTTAATTTCTTGAGGTAATCTGGAGAAATTGCACCCCACACTTCCAGAAGTAGCTCCCACAAGTTGGATTGGTTGGATGGGCACTTCTTGCGTACCATACGGTCAAGCTGCTCCCACAACAGCTCAATGGGGTTCAGATCTAGTGACTGCGCTGGCGACTCCATTACCGATAGAATACCAGCTGCCTGCCTCTGCTCTAAATAGCAATTGCACAATTTGGAGGAGTGTTTAGGGTCATTGTCCTGTTGTAGGATGAAATTGGCTCCAATCAAGTGCTGTCCACTGGGTATGGCATGGCATTGCAAAATGGAGTAATAGCCTTCCTTATTCAGAATCCCTTTTACCCTGTACAAATCTCCCACCTTACCAGCACCAAAGCAACCCCAGACCATCAAATTACCTCCACCATGATTAACAGATTGCGTCAGGCATTCTTCCGGCATCTTTTCATTTGTTATGCATCTCACAAACATTCTTCTTTGTGATCCAAATACCTCAAACTTGGACTCATCCGTCCACAACACTTTTTTCCAGTCTTCCTCTCTGCAATGTCTCTGTTCTTTTGCCCATCTTAATCTTTTTTTTTTATTGACCAGTCTCAGATATGGCTTTTTCTTTGCCACTCTGCCCTGAAGCCCAGAATCCCACAGTCGCCTCTTCACTGTAGATGTTGACACTGGTGTTTTACGGGTACTATTTAATGAAGATGCCAGTTGGGGACCTGTGAGGCGTCTGTTTCTCAAACTATAGACTCTAATGTACTTATCTTCTTGCTCAGTTGTGCAACGCGGCCTCCTACTTCTTTTTCTACTCTGGTTAGTTCCTGTTTGTGGTGTCCTCTGAAGGGAGTAGTACACACCGTTGTAGGAAATCTTCAATATCTTAGCAATTTCTCGCATGGAATAGCCTTCATTTCTAAGAACAAGAGTAGACTATTGAGTTTCAGATGAAAGTTCTCTTTTTCTGGCCATTTTGAGCGTTTAATTGACCCCACAAATGTGATGCTCTAGAAACTCAACTCTGCTCAAAGGAAGGTCAGTTTTGTAGTTTCTGTAACGAGTTAAACTGTTTTTAGATGTGTGAACATGATTGCACAAGGGTTTTCTAATCATCAATTAGCCTTCTGAGCCAATGAGCAAACACATTGTACCATTAGAACACTGGAGTTATAGTTGCTGGAAATGGGCCTCTATACACCTATGAAGATATTGCACCAAAAACCAGACATTTGCAGCTAGAATATTCATTTACCCCATTAGCAATGTATAAAGTGTGTTTCTTTAAAGTTAGTTGTATGTAAATTAATCACAGTAATCAATGAAAGAAAGGCCATTTTCTTCCAATCATAATCCTTGCATTACATCCAAAGGGAAGAAAGCAAACCCATCACAAAGAGTAAATAAAAAATATTGCACCCACAGTGGCAGAGATTACAAATCAAAACAGTGGATTTAAGAAAAACACCATTGCTTTGTGTAATAAAATAAGCACCTTAGCTGTGCAGTTTAACTGATTAAAGAAAAAACTTTTTTTCAGCCACTAAATACCATGAAAAAAGGTTTTCATCTGTATTTTAGGATTTTGTCTTCCAGCTCCTGGTGGGTGATACAAAACTTTCTTTGATTTTGACAAAATTTTCATGATGTGTTTTTAAAGGTCTGAACCAAAGATGCAGAGAACCACTCAGAGAACCAGGAAGAAGGTTTAACAGGTTTATTGGGATGAGGGTACAGGGTAACTGTGATCTGGAACTCAGGTAGCTGGTGAACAGGAACTTGGATGTCTGGAGGGGATATCACAACGGTTAGTTCAGGAACCGTGGGGATCTTGAATGCCGTAGAGAAAATGCTAGTGAGGGACTCACGTTTGGGGGCGGGTTTATTCTCTCACTAGCCTCCAGTCTGTGTGGGTTGATCAGAGAAGAGGGAACATGTTGAAGCGTGGACAGGTAGACATTCTTTGGACCTGCAGGAGCCCTGGAGCGGACTGTCACTTAGATTTCCTTGAGGGACTTGAACGGCACATTTGGAGGTTTCTCCCCTGCTCAGTGTGAACTCAGTAAACAATCCAACAGCACATGTGGAGGTTTCTCCCCTGCTCAGTGTGAACTCGGTAAACAATCTTTCCAGGGGAAGAAGCCAAACATCCAGTATGCAGGAGGACTTACTGCCAAAGGCAAAGACAAAAACAAGGTTAGACTTAGAGAGACAAAGACTCAGTTTGACTCAGTGAAACAAAGACTCAGGTTAGACTCTGCTAATCTAAGCATGGCTAGAGTACCAAAAACTGGCAAACACTCTGGCGACAAGGCACTGACAGTTCACTGCTTAAGTACTCCTCCAGATAATGATCCAAAGAGCCGCAGGTGTGCAGGGAGGACCAATAATGACAGGGCGCCACCTGGTGGTGGAGGGAGAGATAGACACAAAACAGACCACACAAACTGGATTCCTGACATAAATATATTTTTATTATTTTGCTGCAGATGTTTTTATAAAGACCCACATGAGAAGGCACTGATATTTCTTTTTTCTTTAAATGTATATATTATACTGCAATTAAAATAGATGATACTATGAATGAGACTCTCTGAGCATATAGCTGGAATTTGTGTAGGAATTAGGAAGATGGCATATACGAGAAACCTCCTCTTCAGCTCTCGTTTGGTCAAGCTATTTGGCTTCCACGCCCCCGCCCTCCCCAAGCCCTAACAATACCTGAGTCGATGCAATCATCTGGTATTCCTTACATAGAAAACATTTTGACTGTATGATCTGGTTGAATTGTCTGTATAAAGAGCCTTGAGATGACATGTGTTGTGAATTGGCATTATATAAATAAACTGAATTGAATTGGAATATGGCTAAGTATCACCAGCATAACAGTGGAAATGAATCCCATGCTGTCTGATAATTTCACCAACTGTGATCATATATGTAGTGAATACAATTGGGCCTAAAACTGATCCCCGTGTAATAGTGATGGACTAAAACCTGAACCGTCAGAGGCAGATAAAGACGGTTAAAGTCGGACCTGTATCATATGAATAACTTGTCTGTCCTCCATTTTTTCCCAACAATCTTCAACATTGTTTAAAATGAAACATTTTGGGTTGATTTTATTTTTAAAGAAGACAGGCAAAATGCTTTTTAATACTGCTGCAAAACTTATTTTTTATTAACCAATTCACTTCAACATAAGATCATTTGAGCAAATACCTAAGCACATTGATTGTATGTTTATTTTTAAACAGGTTAGGCAAACGATCAAACTCTTATTCAGGTAGGCCTCTAATGGCGTTGAAAGTCCTTCTGTTGAAATGAACGTTTCTCCATTCGCTGCTGGTCTCTGTCCTGCTTTTCCAGTTCAACTTGGTCCAGCTGCTGGTCTGCTTTTTCCAATTGTTGTTTTCCCAAGATACCACTAGGAGGAAAGTAATTCAAAAGGAAAGAATGTGTAGACATCAGTTTTAAATAAAGTAAACCAGTTAGTATGTAGATTAATCAATTCTAATTGCTGTTTCCTTTAAACAGCAGAAAAGTAAATCATCAGGAAAGAATGTAAAAAATAGTGTTACACAAAGTTAATAAACAATTATATCGTATATAGTTTAGAAAATTGTAGCTTTTCTTCCCTTCATAATCTTAGTGCTTTTCTATATTTTTTGTTTTTGTTGTAAGAAGTTGAAAATCTTACCTTGCACATCTTCCAAGAAGATGTCCAATAAAGCCTTCTCCAGGCTGAGCCATAAGCACCACCATGGACAACACCAGGAATGCCACAATACACTTCATCCTGCAGATCACAAGGCTCCAATGAATACATAATTCCTATATAATAACAGCAGTAAATTATATATGTTTGTATACAGAAGGATTTTGAAAGTTGCCAGGTTTAATATACTGTGTCATATTACTAAGGTAACAGTTTCATACAGTAAGACATGTTTTCCTACTTGGTCTGTGATTCCGGTGTGTATTAATATTACCCTTAAAATGACTTGGGTTTCTTTAATACACCAAAGTTGGCAAAATTAATAATCAATTACCTTTAATAAATAACAATGTTTTTTTATCCTTTTTGTCTAATTATGTAGTTTGTAGATGGCTGTTGTTAAAATGTCAAAACTCAAAGATGCACATGTACCGCTGAAATGTATTTAGGTCTTACCTTTCTCCTGAGAGTGAAACCTGTTCTATAGCTGACAGTTGAGAGGATCACAAAATTTGGTAATCAGTGGACTGTTGCTCCTCTCTTTATATCTAACAATGGCTTGATTATCATATTGTGCAAATAACTGAAATATTATAAAAAGGTGGGTATGGTAAGGACCTTGTCTGGCATGTGGACATGACAGTTGCTTATCTAGTTTAAAGATGCAACTGAAAGTTGCATCAGGCAGGACTCCTTTTACTAAAGATGGGTGAAATTTTAATAAGAATTTACCAATTCAACAGAATTAAATTCATTTATATTGTGTCAATTCAAAGCACATTCATGTTAAGACATGTTTTAGAGACAAATCAATAAATGAATACAAACTGGGTGAATGTTTTCTATTCAAGGTAGCTTTTTACTTTTAGAAATTCTAGGCACACATGCAACAATAAGATTCATAATATAAGATTATCAGCTCTGTTGTGGATTTTAAAAGGGTCTAATTTGGGTTGGAACTATTAATTCGATTGATCGTTATTAAAGGAGAATTCCGGTTTTTAACACTTTTAGCCCATTTTCTGTATTGTCCAGGATGAAATCGAATGATCTACACCAAAATTTTGACAATTGGTCCTGTCTCTGCTTTTTGGCTCATTTAGAATCAACCCCTGGCTGCTTCAGAATGGCTTCCATAGTGCATGTCCGATAATGTCCTTAAAACAACCTTAAACGTTCTTTTTTTAAAATATGCTACTCACCGGGTCGTCAGCGCTGTTCAATGACGTTCCAAAAAAAGTTTCGTAAAGAAAAAACGTTCCTGTAGTGTTTTATTTAGCATTTGTTAATCCCATTGAGTTCTGTTGGAATAGTCAATATTCCGCTGCCACCGGAAACGGAAATGGGGCCTGTTTACACAGTTGTAGTCTTTTCGCTTCACTCTGTGTACTCCGACGTCGAGAATCAAGAATCCACCTTTCGTATTCCATTTTCAGAGTTTTTTAAAGTGTTTAACAGAGAGGTTAGCACCTCGACGTCGGAGTACACAGAGTGAAGCGAAAAGACTACAACTGTGTAAACAGGCCCCATTTCCGTTTCCGGTGGCAGGGGAATATTGACTATTCCAACAGAACTCAATGGGATTTACAAAATGCTAAATAAAACACTACAGGAACGTTTTTTCTTTACGAAACTTTTTTTGGAACGTCATTGAACAGCGCTGACGACCCGGTGAGTAGCATATTTAAAAAAAAGAAAGTTTAAGGTTGTTTTAAGGACATTATCGGACATGCACTATGGAAGCCGTTCTGAAGCAGCCAGGGGGGGATTCTGCATGAGCCAAAAAGCAGAGACAGGACCAATAGTCAAACTTTTGGTGTCGATCATTCGATTTCATCCTGGACACTACAGAAAATGGGCTAAAAGTGTTAAAAACCGGAATTCTCCTTTAAACGATTATGGAAATAATCGTCAACTACCTTAGTAATCAATGAGTCGTTAACTGGAGTATAGAGACTCTGAAACATACCTCTAGCTGACATAGTGACCCAGTTAGATCGGTAAACATATAGGGATTGTAAAAATAATTTGCATTTACGATCAATATGCACTATCCAGAACTCAAGTGTAAAATTACACTTTAACCTGGTTTAAATGAAGGAACCTTTTGCTCTGAATATTAATTGATTATTAAATAAAGTAAACAACAGATTAATGAATTTGCAAAATAACCGTTAGTTGCAGCCCTAGTAACAAAGAAGGAAAACTAAAGTAAGAGAAATAAGATCTCTCTTTAATTTTTTATGTTCAACAGAAAAAAAAAAAGAAACTGGCTGAAGTTTTGTGGATCAGTTGAAGGCTTTTACTACATTGTTTAGGCTTCCTCCATTGAAAGAATTACAATGGTAGCCTTAAATTAAGAAATACATAGAATTGTTTTTATTTCTCTTTTGGAATATTCTGGACCTAAAAGGAAGGGTTTATAGAAACCTGTTTATTATAGGATTTAAACCACCAGTCCTTATCAACAATAACATCAACGTTTTTTTAATTTTTTATCGGAGGCCATTTTAATGCCATCCAGTTGAAATGGCTGCTTAAAAGCTTAATGTGCATGACTCTGGTTGAAGGACAATGACTTCCATCTTTTCTGAATTCAAAAGCTGAAAATGTAAAGTCATTCATGTTATGAATTATTACTGAATTACTACTTACTTTTTAAGGGCTGTAAACAACCATGTAATAACAAACCAACAAGTACAACCGTTACTCATATTAAGCCTGTGCTGCTATGGCCTTTAGGGAATAATTTGTTTGCATTAAAAAAAAGGCCTGTTTTTGATTGGCTAGTTGTGTGGTTCATTGAAATATATAATCAATTTGCAAGCGCAGACAATTAGCCAAGCGAGCGTAGTGAGAGGCGAGTTCCCAGCTGAAGTCCAGCAAGCATGGATTAGGCCGAATGTGTGCAAAAAAAAACTGAGCACTAATAGAAAATTACGGGCATAGGAGCCCAGTTGGTGGCACAAAGTATGTCAGAGTTAGGAGTGTGCCAGTAGGGTTGGGAATTGAAAAGATTTTCACGATTCCGATTCCCTTTTCGATTCTATGAAACGATTCGATTCTTTATCGATTCTTTTTTCGATTCCAATTTGGGGAAAAAAGGAGAACAAACAGTTTGCACAATCAATTGCACAATCTTACAAAATCAACAAGATCAAGATGTCCACAGGAAATGTGAAACTGGAGTAACATCCGTGTTTAAATGAAAAATGAATACAAGAACAAACTTAATAACCAACAATGTCTAATAACAAATGATGGGATAATAACCTATTTTAAACAACAAAAAATACTAATTATAAAAGAGTAGTAGGGAAAATTAACAGTTATTTTGCAGAAAGATGAGCATATCTGCTTTTTCTGGAAGGATACGGGATCTTTCAGCGCTTATGGTGTCTCCAGCCGTGGAGAACACCCTCTCAGATGGGGTGGAGGAAGCCTGCACACAGAGGTAGTTTTCAGCCAGTCCAGATAGCAAGGGCAGCGTATCTTGCTTGTTCCACCACCACAGTGTGGCGCTATCCCTGCAGGGGATGGAGGGCAAGCTTTTATAGAGGTGGATTTCCTGATCCACCCTCTGGGCTAAGGAAAGACGGGGCTTTGATTCACAAAGTGACCGCAGCTCGTTGTCTTCCTCCTCGAATAGTTCTTCCAACTTGCGTAACTTGCGTAACTTACGTAAAAAACGTGACGTAAGTTGTGCTCCCCAGAGCCGGCGCTCTAGGCTCTGGTGCTGCGGGAATCGAAAAAAGAATCTGCCAAAAGATGCCATGGAATCGGAAAATACGGAACCGGTTCTGAACAGGAACCGGTTTTCGATTCCCATCCCTATGTGCCAGACATGTTTTGCAGGTGTGAGATTAGGCATATTATATCCTTGGTGTCACAAATAAATATGCCCTACATCTGCTGCTCTCTCTCTCGTAGGAGCTTAAGTTCAGGGTCTCCTTTTACAATCTAGACTGTAAAAAGTTCAGTGGCCCTTTTTCTGAGTTTGCCAGTTTTCCATGAATTCAGTTCAGCTACTAACCTGTTTCTCCCTCCCCGAATATCCTTGCTACTTGTGCTGGTGTGTGGCTCTATTTCACTCTCCATGTCTGGCTAGAACTTTGAATCCTTATGGTTTTGAGCATAACAGATTCATCAGGGCTCATAGACAAATGAGTCAATGCAATCATCTGGTTTTCCTTACATAGAAAACATTTTGACTGTATGATCTGATTGAAATGTCTCTATAAAGGGCCTTGAGATGACATGTGTTGTGAATTGGCATTATATAAATAAACTGAATTGAAATGGAATATGGCTGAGTATCATCAGCATAACAGTGGAAATGAATCCCATGCTTTCTGATAATTTCACCAACTGTGATCATATATGTAGTGAAGATAATTAGTCCTAGCACTGATCCTTGTGTAATAGTGATGGACTAAAACCTGAACCTGCAGAGGCAGATAAAGACGGTTAAAGTCAGACCTGTATCATATGAATAACTTGTCCGTCCTCCATTTTTTTCCCAACAACCTTCAACTTTGTTTAAAATTAACATTTTGGGTTGATTTTATTTTTAAAGAAGACAGGCAAAATGCTTTTTAATACTGCTGCAAAACTTATTTTTTATTAACCAGTTCACTTCAACATAAGATCATTTGAGCAAATACTTAAGCACACTGATTGTATGTTTATTTTTAAACAGGTTAGGCAAACGATCAAACTCTTATTCAGGTAGGCCTCTAATGGCGTTGAAAGTCCTTCTGTTGAAATGAACGTTTCTCCATTCGCTGCTGGTCTCTGTCCTGCTTTTCCAGCTCAACTTGGTCCAGCTGCTGGTCTGCTTTTTCCAATTGTTGTTTTCCCAAGATACCACTAGGAGGAAAGTAATTCAAAAGGAAAGAATGTGTAGACATCATTGTTAAATAAAGTAAACCAATTAGTGTGTAGATTAATCAATTCTAATTGCTGTTCCCTTTATAGTCTTAGTGGGTATTTTTAGTTCCTATCATAAGAAACAGGAGAAAAGGAAATCATCAGGAAAGGATGTAAAAAATAGTGTTACACAAAGTTAATAAACAATTATATTGTATATAGTTTAGACAACTGTAGTTTTTCTTCCCTTCATATTCTTAGTGCTTTTCTATATTTTTTGTTTTTGTTGTAAGAAGTTGAAAAGCTTACTTTGCACATCCTCTAATAAGACGTCCAAAAAAGGCTTCTCCAGGCTGAGCCATAAGCACCACCATGGACAACACCAGGAATGCCACAATACACTTCATCCTGCAGATCACAAGGCTCCAATGAATACATAATTCCTTTATATTAACAGCAGTAATTCATATATGTTTGTATACAGAAGGATTTTGAAAGTTGCCAGGTTTAATATACTGTGTCATATTACTAAGGTAACAGTTTCATACAGTAAGACATGTTTTCCTACTTGGTCTGTGATGCCTGTGTGTATTAATATTACCCTTAAAATGACTTGGGTTTCTTTAATACACCAAAGTTGGCAAAATTAATAATCAATTACCTTTAATAAATAACAATGTTTTTTTATGCTTTTTGTCTAATTATGTAGTTTGTAGATGGCTGTTGTTAAAATGTCAAAACTCAAAGATGCACACGTACCGCTGAAATGTATTTAGGTCTTACCTTTCTCCTGAGGGTGAAACCTGTTCTATACCTGACAGTTGAGAGGATCACAAAATTTGGTAATCAGTGGACTGTTGCTCCTCTCTTTATATCTAACAATGGCTTGATTATCATATTGTGCAAATAACTGAAATATTATAAAAAGGTGGGTATGGTAAGGACCTTGTCTGGCATGTGGACATGACAGTTGCTTGTCTAGTTTAAAGATCCAACTGAAAGTTGCATCAGGCAGGACTCCTTTTACTAAAGATGGGTGAAATTTTAATAAGAATTTACTAATTCAATAGAATTCAATTCATTTATATTGTGTCATTTCGAAGCACATTCATGTTAAGACATGATTTAGAGACAAATCAATATACTAATACAAACTGGGTAAATGTTTTCTATTCAAGGTATCTTTTTACTTTTAGAAATTCTAAGCACACATGAAACAATAAGATTCATAATATAAGATTATCAGCTCTGTTGTGGATTTTAAAAGGGTCTAATTTGGGCTGGAATTATTAATTCGATTGATCGTTATTAAACGATTATGGAAATAATTGTCAACGAACTTAGTAATCGATTAATCGTTAACTGGAGTATAGAGACTCTGAAACATACCTCTAGCTGACAGAGCGACCCAGTTAGAGTGGTAAACATATAGGGATTGTAAAAATAATTTGCATTTACGACCGATATGCTGTATCCAGAACTCAACCTGGTTTAAATTAAGGAACCTTTTGCTCTGAATATGAATTGATTAATCAAGAAAGTAAACAACAGATTAATGAATTTGCAAAATAACCGTTAGTTGCAGCCCTAGTAACAAAGAAGGGAAACTAAAGTTAGAGAAATAAGATCTCTCTTTACTTTTTGATTTCCAACAGGAAAAAAAAAGCAAAAAAGAAACTGGCTGAAGTTTTTTGAAGCAGTTGAAGGCGTTTTACTACATTGTTTAGGCTTCCTCCATGTAAATCTAAAGGCTTGGATTAGAAAATGCATAGATTTTTTTTCTTACTTTTGGAATATTCTGCACGTAAAAGGAAGGGATTATAGAAACCTGTTTGAAATAGGATTTAAATCACCAGCTCTGATCAACAATAACATCAAATTTTTTTACTTTTTTTCATCTGAGGCCATTTTGATGCCATCCAGATGAAATGACTGCTTAAAAGCTTAATGTGCATGACTCTGGTTGAAGGACAATGACTTCCATCTTTTCTGAATTCAAAAGCTGAAAATTTCATGTCATTCAGGTTATGAATTATTACTGAATTATCACTTACTTATGAACAAATATAGCCAAGCATTATCAGTGGAAATGAATCCCATGCAGTCTGACAATTTTACTAATTGGAAGCATATTTAATAATTTATAGTTAAAACAACTGAGCCTAGAACTGACCACCTTTTCTCTACACAAACAATCATGTAGCTTAAATAATAGTTGTCAAAAACAACAAAAGAATGTTAATATTTCCTTGGACGAATGTAAGTTTAAATCAACCTGGTCCCTTAATTCCTATAGCATCTAAAGGACTATTATTATTGACTGTATCAAATGAACAATTAAGATTTAATATGAGAAAACAGGGACAGGTTCATTAGCTTAGACTCCGAGAATATTACTGGGAAATTTCACCACTGCTTTTTTAGTGCAAAGAGGAGCTTTAAAACCTGACTTGATCCCTTCAAAGAGGTAACTTCAGTGTAAGCACACACACATTTAATAAGCACCTTTTTTTAAGAATTTTGAATAAGTATGATTAAATACAGCACCATTTTAATAACTCAGAAAGCTCAACTAAATGAAAACAGCCCTAACAGAGGCCATTTCTCAATATGTGTACTCGTGAAACGTCATCAGCCTCAGCCCTAGTACTGTACCAATTCACAAGAACAGCAGACCGAGAACGGACAAAGTCCCCAGATGTTGTTCTTGTCTCTCCCTATTTACGGAGTATGACTTTCAGACTTGTCCGTTATTGAGATTTACAGCTGTCCTATCCAGCACCACGGCAGCAGCAGCTTTCAGGTTTGCGCTCAAAGAGCTCAGAGTATTAAGTTAAAAGTTCTCTTTTCTCTTGCCGTGGTTCAATAAAAGTACATTTTAAGATAATTTAAGCCAGGAAAATTATAATTCTAAGCATCACTATATGGCCCATGTACTGATTTAATGCGTTATTAAAAAAAAAAAAAATCAGAAGTTGAAAGGACCGCAGCAACCAACGGACCTCTGAGGGTAACAGCAGCCAGCTCTAATCCTAGCCCGTCTGCAGCAGCCCTCTCTCAGCATAGCCGTGTGTGAAGGACCCCTGGATCTGATGGCAAGTTTTTTTGTTTGATTTGGCAAAATGGTGATTTTATTTGTGTTTTTTCTGACTGTGTTCACCATTATTTCCCCCATGATTAAAAAAAGTAAGAATTTATTATTATCTAGAAACTATTAATAACAGCGGGTGAAATTCTCTGTTTATTCAAATATCTCTGCAAAAGGAGGGTGAATCTGACCTGACTGATAAACCACTTGCTGTACAATAAACAGACTACTACAAGTTAATACGATGATGTCTTTATTTCTAATAATCCAGGATTACAGAAATCTAACATCTATGCAAACAGTACACACTACTAGAAAATAAAACATGAGGTAGACTAAAATAATAATTTGAAAGAGGGGAAAAAGGGTCTAAGAGTCCATTTAGATGACTTATAAAGACTGTGCAAGGGAAGCCAAATGTTAATACATTAATTAAATTCCGTTCAAAGCACCAGATATAACAAGCAATAATAGATACCATTAAAACAATGTGAATTCATTCAGTTCAGTTTATTAATATTGCGCCAATTTGCAACACATGTCATCTCAAGGCACTTTAGAGATCACCAGATCATACAGTCAAATTGATTCAAAGTTTTCTATCTAAGGAAAAACAGTTGCATTGACTTGAAGGCAATCCCTCACACTAAGCATGTTTGTAGCAACAGTGGAGAGGAAACTCGCTTTTAACAGGAAGTAACCTCCAGCAGAACCAGGCTAGGTGTGAGCGGCAATCTGCTGATGCCGACTGGAGTTCAAGGAAACAGAAGCAGAGATACAAAAAGCAGCTGTAAAAGGCGGCCCGGTCCAGGAAACTCACAGCCAGGCAGAGGAGCTCCGAGGCAGCTCCGATGTCAGAGGATGAAGAGAGAACATCCAGCCAGTCAGTCAGTCAGAGAAACGGGACTACACTGAAAAACAGGCTGATCTTTAACATTTGTAAACAAAGGTGTTAATGATAGCAGCACAGCTGATATTTCTCTCCAGGATGGTGTCACAGCCAAACAGGAACAGACGAGGCGAAGCTACTATGAGAAAAAGCAGAGAGAGCTTAATGTTAGAGATTTAACTAACAGATTCTGCAGAGTGGGAGATTAGGGATAGAATGAAGCAGAATAAGGAAAAAGGGGTCCCTGTGTCCCATTCAGCCTACTGTATAATGGTAAAGGTTTACAAATGTATTAACAATATAGCATTGTAGCACCACAGCAAACCTACATTCAACTAACCTAGTAAATAAAGGGGGACGGATACTTTAATCCACAGTCAACAAAGGAGGATCAAGATGGCGGGCCCCCTACCATTCAGTCAAGGGAGGTGGAGCAAGAGGCTGGAAAAATACTGGGGTGTTGGACCACCAAATGGTGGACTTGATAACGTGACTAAAGGGGGGGAGGGTTTGATATCAATGGAGGTATATCTTTACTTATGAACTCACGAAATGGCTGCTCCTATCATGTGAAGAGAGAAGGGGGTTACAGATCTCCAGACAATAGACCTTAAGACTCCGAAAAATGACCGCCCCTGCAATGTAATTGCCCAATGGTTTGAAGGGTCTACAATCCTGTTGAATGACCCAGAGGTGTGGTGAGTCCAGTTTTTGTTTCATAACTAAAAGGAAGACGATGTTATCTTTTCGGCCCAATGGGGAAGAGAAAGTAACTATCTGGTCCACCTGGGGGGCTGTGTACGGGGATATGATTCTGGAACAAGATAGTAGTGTGTACCCCATTGGCAAGTGATATCTGCAAACCCTTCTAAAGGTTGGAGCTATAAACTGTAAAGTACACAAAGGCTAAATAATTTGTTTACCAACTTCCAAGTGCGGTTGTATGAGAACACAAGGCTATCGTGAACTGAAGAGACAATTCAGTAGGGTTGTATCGTGGCTGCTAATACAACTGACCTGTTTGATGAAAAAGGATGTGGCTTCAGGAAGAAGACAGCAGGCAGGTCAATGTTTTCCATTTGCCCAGCCAGGTGGATCTCACAGGATCCCTATCTGAGGTAATACCCAATAGGTTAGGAGATCCAAGAACCCAGGTTGGTAAGATGTGCCACAGCTCCATAGGAGCGAGAGGAGGGAGGAGCTGAGCATAGATGTGACAACAACAATCCTCAGTTACTCTACTACACCAATCTCAGGACAAAGGAAACTAAAAACTCAAGATGAAAGAAACACATAGAAACACTCACAACCAGTCACACCACATTCATTCACAACATGAAACCAGGGCTCTTTTATAAACCCTTTTTAAATTGAATTGAATATTTGGAGGCTTAAGTTAAATTCAACCTTTTTCATTAACTGTTCAGTTTTTTGTGCTTCTGGGTAACCCCTTTACTTTTTACACTGAAGATGTGTTTGAAACCAGATACTTCTGGATATCGGTCAGTAGCTGTTGTAGCAAGAACACGTTTTAATGTAGAAAAAGTTAAAGTAATGCTCCTTCAGGTCCCTTTCAGATGGTTTTAGTTTTAAAGATCAGCAATTATTTACAACCTTTTCTAAAAAAAAAAAAGGGAAGCAGAATAGAGGTAATATTCCCAAATGGAGCTCTCCCCCTTTTTTTTGCCTCATTTAAGGGAAAAGTAGACACAAAAGCTTGCAGTAACAGATAATGAGAAGAGATATGTGTCCAAAGATTGAAACAATCCTGAGAGACTCTGTTTAAGTAAACAGTCTGCTATTTGTCTGTTATAAACCAAAAATTGTTTTTTAAGCCCAAGCAGTGTTAACTGTGCACATCACTAGTAGGATTATGATTTGTCATATCCTGTGCCAGTAGGTCCAAATTGGGATAAAAGTAAACATTTTTGCTAGTTAAAAAATGATTGAACTTTTATATAGCTGTAATTATAAAAATATTACACCACAATAATGCAACCTGTTCACCATGGTTTAAGAACATGTGTACATTTGGATTGTTTACTGGTAGGAACAAGAAAAGAGAGAATGCAATGCATAGGTATTAAATTGTTTTATAAATTGTGGGATTGTTAAAGTCATGTGCCTCACCCTATAGAGAAAAGTTGAACAGCAACTTTGCCCAACATTACAAAGAGATAATTTTAGAAAGTAAAAATGCAGCAAGCAGAACTTATTGTCAAAAGGATAAAAGGTAAAGTTAGAAACATCAGAAAATCAGCTCAAACTCAAACTTGGATTTTTTTCAGAAGGTGCAGTATCTAGAAATGGTCTAAGGCAGGGATTTTCAAACAGGGGTACTCATACCTAGCCTGGGTGCCAGTCCGAACTTAGTCCCGCCCACAAGGTTTGAGTTCGGGGAAGTTCGGTCTGGCTCTGCTCCATAGTAGCGCGAGTATTATCGCCCACTGTCAGGCGATCCAATCAAATTGTCAGGGCGGGCTTTATACGATGATGGACAGATGATCAAGTGTAACGTAATCAACCACGTGACCAAAGCGCGCTTGGGTGACAACAATAATGGCTGCCGCTGGAGAGTTTGGGTGAGTAGATTCTGCTATTAGGTCTGTTCTAGAAGATATCGACAGCAAATTAATTTTAAAAGAGGAACAGAGAAACGCGATCAAGTCTCATCTTCTTATTCTAGGCGTGAAACTGCACGCTTTGATTTTTGTGGACAACAACTATGCCTCGCTTAACATACGTCACGCACTCCGTTGCTCTTATTGGTTGTAGATCTATCCAATTGAGTGCAGAGGCATTTTCTTTCCTGGTTCGTTCGAAACACGCCCCATAATCACAGCTCTATGGAGCAGTATCAGACTCATATTCTGACTAGAATTGAGTCGGACTACGTCAGGCTAACTCATACCCCTAGTGGCCAGCGAGTGCATTAGAAGGAGTACATGAAACTAATAAAATTTCTTAGGCGGTAAAATAAAAGAGGGCTGGGATCTGTTTTGCTTTTTGATGACCCAACGGAAAAATTATAAAAAGCTTTTATCAACCAAAAAGCAAGTTTTCTTATATGTTTGAGTACACCTTCAGCTTTGACGCACATCAAAAACAAGCCGAGGAACAGACTGAATGTAGAGAAAAGCCTGGGATCAGCTGTTTTTCACACTGAGCTATCGAGCTCATCAAAGCATCTCAGGTGTCTTAATGAAAACAGACTAAAATTAATTAAGTCAGTTTGACTATAACTTTAGTTCTGTATTTTTGTTCCTAATTCATCAAGTTTGATGAGAGGAGCTCCAGCTTTATAAATGCAGGCTTAAAATACAATTTTATTTAGTATTTATTTCAATTCCTTACTAACTTCCAGGCAATATATTTATGTTTTTTTTTTATTATTTGAGATGGAAAGCATATTATGCCAAAGCATTAAATGCTCAAATCAAAAGATTAAGTAAAATATATATATATTTTTTTTTTTCAGTTTTTTTACGTTCAATCATCAATACTTTTACTGAGAGGGGGAACTCATGGTAAGACAAAATGTCCAAAGGGGTACACAAGTCAAAAAAGGCTGGAAAACACTGGTCTAAGGTGTTGTGATCTCTTTTGAAGCAGTCAGCAAAGTATTTAAAAGTAACTAAGAACAAAAAAGCATAACAGGTTAACTACGGTAACTATAATTCATTTTCAGCAATTTCAAAAATATATGTACCAGCGGACATAATCATATATATATAAAGATATTACATTCGGTGTGTAAAGAAAAAACTACTGGAAGCTCCAAAAATTTTATTATAAAGGATATTTTGGAAACACCCAAACAAACAGTTACCACAGTGAGTGATTGTGATTTCATCTCAAAAGACACTTTATGATTCAGGAAATCAAAGTCTTAAGTAAAACATTATCAATGAAGCTCATATCTTTTGAAATTAAAGCAAGATTTGCTAAATGGTCTAATCAAAACGCCGTCGTGCAGCCTTGTCCTCAAACAAACGCTTGAATAGCTGCTCTTCTGCTTGCTGCTCTGCAAGGTTCTCTTTCCCATTGATGACCCTAACCAAGATAAAGAAGGTTCAATGTGCCATGATAATTCACATATAAACATATAAAGATGGTGGTCACATTTCAAAATCCCTAATAAGAGTGATAAAATTAATAATTTTTTGTAAAATGTCCATGATTACACAAAGAGCAGAAAATACAGTACTCACTTCTTTATACCATGAACTGCATGAGTGATTCCATGAATTGCATGAGTGATTCCATGAATGAGCAGCCCAATAAATCCCTCTCCAGGTTGAGCCATCATAACAACCATGGACAATACAAGAAACATCCATGCACACTTCATCTTAGGAGAAAAAAGACATCAATCGAAAAACCTTTTTGTTGCAGTTCAAGACTTTTTAAAGTTTACCGATTACATTGATTCAGTAGTGTGAAACTTACTTAAATTACACATTTAAATTTCAAACCTAAGATGTTGTATACTTGTTATAATTTTTATCACTAAAGTGCATTTTAAGTCTTTTATTTTTGGATTTTGATCATTAAAGCTGTAGATGTCTGAATCAGAAGGCCTTTTCCTGCTAACATAAAAAAATAATACTATAGACTACAGTAATTTGGTAAAACATTATCAGGGATATTTATTTTTGGTTATTACTTTGAGATAAATTTGACAAAGATTTAAAGTTCTTACCTTTAAACTGTATTACAGTCTGTCTTTTTGTAATAGAGATTTAAGTAGCAGGGCTATGAAGAGATCTGAGTGCCAGTAGTCGTGCACCTCTTATATATTGGCCACAATAGTTGAGATTCGTGATTATGCAACATTTTTACATGTTACATAACTGGTCATTAGTAGAATCTCACAAGCAGGTCAGATAATTCCTCATCATTTGGCTAACAAAACATCCCCTCCCATGAGTTCAGTTTTTCAGTTTTATGATAGTATATAGAAAATAGTATACATATATATATATATAAATGGTTACCTGTATTAACTTTAAAACAAATTATTCCAGAGGTTTTGCAAAATGTCATGGTGACAGTAAAATGGACTGATTTGTTTGCACCCATTTTGGAATGCATTGCAATAAAAAATCTATCATGTTTTTGTTTTATTTTGCCCTGTATGTTGTAGCTGCTGTGTTTATGTTGTGTATTGAATAAATGACCTGCAAATGCATGCCTCATTGCGTTAATAGCTTATTTGCTGTGTTATTAGTTCCCCAAAACAGTGTGCGGGTTAAATCTAAATATAGACCAAAAACTCACCAAGTCGTTATTTGAAATCTATAGAATTGAGCTCAGTTATTTAAAAGTTTCCATATAGTTTCCTTATAAGTAGCATACCTTTTAACCCCTCTACAATAAAGGGCAATATTATCAGATGTGTGTGTGTGTTTATTTTATAGGTTCTAATGTATTTTTTTGAGGTCCTAAAGAAATGTTTTTTTCTTTTTCTTTTTTAGTGGGTTTGGTCAAAATAAAACAAGACATCATGGATGCTTTCTAATAGAAGACGTTTATGTAGTAAAAGCTTTTTTTCACTCACTTTCAACATCTCTGTTGCTGCTGCTTTAACTGTCAATTATTCTAAAATATTTTTTTTAATTAACCATCCCAAGTTTTACATGTGGTAAAATTTTCAAGAAGTGCACAGTGTTTATGTTAAATATTTTTGCTCTTACTCTACAGCATTTTACCTAATAATTCTGCTTTTTATAAACTTTAAAAACATTTTATAGTAAATACCTGTCTTTTGCTTCTGTTGCACCAAAATTTCCCCCAGGACAGATATTGCCCCATCACTGGGTTACGAAAAAATATATTATGATTTTTTGCTATTTACCAAAATGATCAAAGCTCTGATTTGACAGTTTTCAACAGAAGCAGTTTTTATGCTATCTTGACATTGTATAAAACACAGAAATGTTTCATTTTTGGATTTGCTTGTAGGACTATACTTTCTAAATGTTTTCTAAGAAAGATTAACATATTCTTTATTTTTGTGTGAGATTGAAGGTATGAATGGAAATACACAGTTTTTCTTTTTTGTTTAATTTTTTGAAGATGCAGAAAGAAAAATGGTTAGCAGGCATTGTGTGTAAAGCTCTGGAATTTATTTTGGAACTTTCTATTTCACATTAGGCAGGAAAAACTGCATTGGGGTCAATATAAAGTTCTTTATTTTGAAGACAACTACATAGTTAAATCTATTTTTCCAAGGGGGGCTTAGTCAATATATACTATCTTATAGAGAAAGAAAAGCTTGAAGTTTTTTTTAAGCTCTGGACAAATATAATCACAATGTTTTTGGTCAAACGTTGTAAAGTTTTTCCAAGTATTGCTGCTCCTCATACTGAGGCTTCTTTTGGCCCACTTGTTACTGTTTTGCCTCTTTCTCTGCATGTTCTTGATAGGGTTAAAGGAAAAGAGGAGCAATTAGGCATGATTTTCTAATGTAATCTAATCAAAATCCATGCAAAAAACATTTTGCTTAATTTTTTTTTGCCTTTTAGCCAATAAACAGCTTTTTTATTAGCTGTTAAGTTTTTAACTTAGACATTCGTTCCAAGTTTAATTTTTGTTAGATTGTGAGCAGAAAAGATTTTTCACAAGTGTTTATGGCAGCAGATAAAAATTCTACACAATAACATTGTTAACTTCATGATTACTCTTTAATTACTTCAGCTTTTTAATTACCATTTCAAAACAAAAACATATAAAGAAAAAGTGTAATCTGTTCCAGTTAAACATGTTTCAGATAAAACAGTTTGAATTGTATAGATTTAAATGGTCTACATTTTGACTAGAGGTGTTAAAACAGAATAGAATTTTATTATGAGGAACCGTCTCTGTTTATTTTAAATAAATCTTATTTCCCTTTAACCTGGTCATCTGTTTAAGAGATATATGAGTCAAAACTGTTTACTAAGTAATATCAAGCCCATTTATAGACCTTATTATTCATTTTATCAGAATTAATTACCAAAAAAGTAAAATTTCACAATACATATATTTTTGATGAAGACTTGCCCTCATTCAGACTTTATTTTGAAGAGGACATTCACCCTGCTGGGTTTCATATCAGCCCTTTGCTACTGAGACTTAATGTTACTCCAGCTGCTGCCGTCCTATTGCTCCTCCAGTTGTTGCTGGTCTTTCTGCTGGTCCTCTAGCAAATCTTCCTGCTCATCCTCCTGAACCTTTTGCTCATCCTGTTGATCTTGGTCATCATGCTTTTGCTGCTTCTCTTCTTGGTCATTCTGATGATCCAGATGCTGATCATATGCTTCATCCATTGCATGTTTCCTTTTATCGCTTAAGACACTGAAAGAAAAGCTGTAGATCAGCACAAACTGTGTGATTCTGCTAATAATCACCTATTAAGTAATCCAGTTTTTTAATGAAGGTTGTATTGTAATTGGTGTGGTTTCCTTGTATTCTGAAACGTTAAAGATCATAGTAATTCCCCTTCTTACCTGGCTCCTTAATGGAATCATAGAATACGCTATCTCCAGGTTGAGCTATCATAAACACAACATAAAACACGAGAAAAATCCCAACAAACTTCATGCTGTTAGGAAGAAACACAAAAAATAATTTACCGTAGTGACATACATGCTCATACAGGAGGTTTAATTTTAATCATTTTAGCACCTTTAACCAGAACCTTTAACCAGTCTGTCTATATAATTTGATGGAGTGGAGTCTTTAAAGACCCTTTTAATAACATGTGTTGTGAACTTGTGCTTTATTTAAATAAAACTGAATATTTGTTTCTAAAATTGAGTGTCTCTACAAATTAAAATTGGTTTTATTCATCAACATTTCTGGTCAGAATTTTTCCAGGCTTAGGCTGTTCTTTGTGTACTCCAGATGCTTCATAGTTGTTGGGGGTTGTCTTGTAACATTAGACACTATAAGGTGTTCCTCTAGGATTGGCCGCATTACCTGAACCACTTCTGTGAGCTGTTAAGTCTGCCAAGTGTGAAAATACTACCAAGTACTGAGAAATGGTCTATGTTCCCTACCTGCAGAACCATTGTGCCCTTATTACTAATTGCCAATTATTTCCACCAGTTTTTTAACTATTTCTTTGCACAACAGCATGTGTGCATCAGAACCATCAAAGTAGTGAGACACATCTGCTTGTAGTTTTATAAGATTATAAGATGTGTGAGGGTAAATCATGTCCAGGAGCGGGTTCAAAAACTGATTAATGTGAACTATATTCATGAAATTAGGGCAATTTAGTGCACATTTAATTCAGTTTAAACACTACTTTCATGAAGTTTAATAGTGCATAGTTGACCAATTACTTTATTAAATGAACTGGGGAAGTTTGGCCTCCCTGCTATTCAATGAAAAATTAAGTAAAT